TGCCTCCAAAGAGTTATAGTCTTTTGGAAAAGAGATGTGAAAACAAACAAAAATACAAATGAAGCTAAATTTCAACATGGGGTTTAAACAAAATGTGCATAAATGAAGGAACACACAGGTAAAAATCACAAAAAGGTAACAGATGATCTGAAATTTAGAGCACAAGGAGGAAGAGGCCAAACATTCAGATAATGGGAGCACCCCATAGTGAGATGAGGAGGACCCCGTATTGTGGTGAGATGGGTGGCTTCAAAGAGCAGGGAGCAAACAGGAGGCTGAACAAGCAGCAGAAGCCAGATCATGGAGGGCCTTGTAGGTCTGGCAAATGGGTTGAAATCTCATCTAGCAAATGACAAGGGAGTCATGAACCATGTTCACACTAGAAAGAAGGTAAATGTAGGGGAGAGATGTTAGGGCTGGGACTTCAGTGAGGAGACTTGCAACAGCCAGAGGAGAGATCACATGCTCTTAACTAAGACATGGGTCTACGGGAGGAAAGAAGAATGTAGTGAAGAAAGATATTGAGATAGTAGGTTTGACAGTGTTTGATGACTGTTGGGTGTGAAAAGAGGGGTAAGGAAATGGAGATAGCAGTTGGTATTCAAAGTTTGTATTTCCAAAATACTAATCTCCCTATAGTAATTCAAATGATGTAGCCAAGCAACACAATCATTATTGATTTGTGTTTTAAATTAATATTATCAAGGAATATATGTTACACATCAACATAAGGAAACAAATGGTACTTTTAAGCTACCGGATAAAGACAGGTCCATTAGCACTAATAAGTATAGGCATGATGGCAGCATTGGGAAAAAAATGTCTTGGACACAGCTGTTTAAACTGATCTGGAGGTATTTCTACTTGATTTCATTGTCTTGAATTGAGATTGCTGCAAATTCAATATATCAATAATAACTACAGCCATCATCAGCTCTGATGGGTTCAAAAAAGTGAATTCCTGCCCTTTGGTAACTGTGTGTGGAAAAGGCAGATGTCTGGGCAGAAGACGGGGAGCTGTGTCATCTGATCAGCAGTAAAGAACAGTGGTAATATCCACTTAGGGGACGTCCATACTCCTAGGAGCATGGAAACATGTAAATAATCAGCAAAGAATGCACAATAGAGAAAGGTTTTTATAGTAAAGGCTCATGTCTGGGGAGAAGTCTAGCACATTGACTGGATGGCAGTGTGTGGACATTGGGGGAAGTGTGAGAAAGGTGACATGAATTAAAAACAAACAAACAAACAAAAACTCTAATGTGTGAAGGGTTGGACTTCCTTTTTCACATTCTCCTTGAAGAGATTGGGCTTGGATATACTGTGTGACTTGGTTTCTTGGTTGGGTTTGTAACAAATGAAGATAAAAATTTTACTGAGCTAATAACATTAATATCTTTATTATGATGACCCCAAACTATAGAAGAAACCACAACAACAGGATAAATGGGCTTGTATTCAATAATCATTTAGCAGATAAACACTTGACCCAAGGGTCAGTTAAGGTGCTAACTCAACCAGAAAAATTCTTATGAATCCAATTCATTGTTTCCATTTATAGCTCAACATGAAGGAAGAATTTGAAAGTCTAAGCACTATGATCTTACATACTGACAAATGACTGTGATACTGATAATAATAGGTCTTGCTCCAAGTACTAGGGACTTTGCTGATAATCTCATTTCTTTATGGTACCATAGGGAGAAAAAAAGAACAAGAGATATATAAACACTGAGATCTCATGAATTGACTGAAGGGAATATTGCCAACACCACAATGCCAGGCTATAATTCTTTTCTTTTCTAACTAGACTCCTCTTAATTTCCTGACTTCATTCATGGTGGGAATAGCCTATTAATTTCTTTTTCTAAACATTTAATGAATGAGAAAATGCTTACAATATGATCTTTAATGAAAAAGAAAAATAATACTCATGCAAGGCATAAGAATACCATTTTTATGCAGACCTTATACTGGTTTTATTTTTATCATAATCATGCACTATTAAAATTAAGAATTAATTGTATATACTTAAAATATTTTACATATTATATTTTATACTACTATATAATGGTATATAATGAGAAGATTTTTAAAGATATTATCATTTTTCAAAGGGGAATTTTTTTTTTTTTAATTTTTTTTTTTCAACGTTTATTTATTTTTGGGACAGAGAGAGACAGAGCATGAACGGGCGAGGGGCAGAGAGAGAGGGAGACACAGAATCGGAAACAGGCTCCAGGCTCTGAGCCATCAGCCCAGAGCCTGATGCGGGGCTCGAACTCACAGACCGCGAGATCGTGACCTGGCTGAAGTCGGATGCTTAACCGACTGCGCCACCCAGGCGCCCCCAAAGGGGAATTTTTAAAAAGTAATCAATCTGCATCCATTTTGGAAGACATCTTTATTTTAACGGCAAACTTCATGTCTACTTCCAAAATAGTTTCTGTTCCATGCTCTATGTATAAATATAATAAAATAAATAACTGGTCTACATTTTTAGATAAGAAATATTATTCAGAAAGCACTCACACAAGTAAATTTATCTTCAGCTCACTCATTTAAAAAATGTTTTCATTTTTAAATCTCAAGTGTTCTGGTGAAAACTTTGTAGTTTGAAGAAACTAAAAATATATAAATGACGGGGCAATCATCTCTTATATGTGAACATTTTTGATTCTGTCTTATTTAGTATGCCACCTGGAAATGACTAAGGCAAAGGTAAAAGTGTTGGCATCGAATATTTGTCTAAAGACTTCAAAATCCGTGGTCTGTATACAATGTGCAGAGTTTTCAATTAAATAGGCTAATTTTCTCATTTTCTTGCCAGTGCATTTTCATTCTATCACTTATCCACTCTTACCAAATCACCTGCCAATTCAGAAGGACAGAATTGAGGAGGCATGGACTCATGGCTAGAAACAAACAAACAAACAAATAAACAAACAAAAAACCCAGACCTGTATTCCTCCTAACACCCTTTTTGTTCCATCTTCTGAAGGTTAATTCTCTCCAAGAGACCTTGCCTTACTGGACGACAAGAAATTAATACATCTTCCTTTGTATTTATCTGTCTTTCAAGAGTCTCAATAAGTTACTTACAAGTTAGTACTTTGTTTCAGGGGATGGCATGTGGAGTCATATAGGGAATCATACAGAAATATAGAGAAAACCTAAGTAAAACTGGGTAATTTTTCTGATTCTGATATATAAAGCAGAACACTAATCCTTGGGCATATTAGTAGAAGTCAGAGTTAAATGTTAAGTAAAGTCTTAAAATTGCCATAATATCATTGATTTTTCCTAAAAATCATTCAAAAATGACTTTGAGTAACAATAAGATATCCATCGTGAAGTTAAAGATTGACAAAGTTAGCTAAAAACCATATGTGGGAAAAAATATGTACATGATTAAAATGACAATTAAACATATAGGACATATTTTAGTTTAAAAAATAACATTATCTTGTTAAGTTCCAAAAGTTCAATTCAACATCTTCAAACTGAGAATAAAGCATAATATTTGTAATTTTTTTAGGTTGTATTTTATTTTTAATCTGGATATACTTTAGAGAAAAAAATATATTCATTTTAAAGTTATTTAGATATTTTCCTCCCAATAAAGTTTCTCAAATATATCTTAGGTTAATACCAAAATATTAGAATAAGTCAACTATTTCCATTTTTATGTAAAAGAGTGATATTCCCCTTATATTATTTCTTTAAAAATTATTATGAATATGAGATATTTTCAAATTCTACGAGGTTGTTTTTCTCAAAAAAAACAAAAATTTTCTTTTAAGGAAAAAAATAATCAAAATTTTACCTTTGTTTTGCTACAACGTTAAAAACACACTTTGAACCCCTATTGAAGCAATTAATGGAAAGTTATAATCATAATAGAAAAAGCTTTTCCACCGATCAGGATAATGTTATGCTTATAAAATTTCCATTTAGGCTGACACTTAATAAAAGCAGGTTGTAATGACTTAGGAAATGTACAGATTGCCACGGTGTTTAGCTGTTTCCTAAATTGTAGCAATTATTTGGTCTACAGAAAACAGATTTAATGAAAATGTATCAGACATTTATAATTTGTTTAAATAGAATAGTATAAAAGTAGTATAGTATAAATCGACCTGGTTTTATAAGGTAGCCAGTACTTATAGTTGGCTATTGAACCCTTGAAATGTCACTAGTCTGAATTAATATGTATGGTGTCAGATACACAACAATTGTCAAAGACTTAGTAGCAAAAAGAAAATGAAAAACATCTGCCATAATTTTTATACTGATTACCTGTTCAAATAATAGTATTTTTTAATACAATCAGTTAAATGACATAAATTAATAACATTGATTTTTACTTGGGTTTTTCTTTGTGTTTTTTTAACATAGCTATCAGAAAATGTTAAATTATATTTGTGCCTTGCCTTAGATTTTCACTGACAGCAGTGGTATAAATAGCTAAACTTCTAGAAGAATGTACCCTTCTTTACAGTTTATGTATAAATCCAGTTTCTAGGTGTAATCAAGGACTTGAAAATGATAAGTTGATTATTGGTTGGTCTTGAGCCATAAAGAGTGAATAACTTAAAGGATATTTTTGTGTGATGTAGGTCATCTATATGATATCAGAAACCAACAGGATGAAGAATAATCATGTATGGGTAGTTAAGATCAAAGGATAACTATTAGGTTAACATCTTCTTCTCAGTCTCTAATTTATCCTATATATGGCACCCATTAATCTTAGAGATATCTCTACATTGCAGGTATTCTAACTATAGTTGTAATGTCTTTTTAGATACTTGTATATATGTACAAATTTACCATATAAAATTAATTTAGAAAGTCATAATAGAATTATTTGCAATAGTAGCTCGGATATCATGCCTTTGATGTCAAACAATTAAACCCAAGTTTGTATGCAGAAGATTTAACGATTTATACAATATCACTTAAAACACACAAACTGATCTTTAAGTGGGAATTCATACCGTCATAAATCCATCCAGCAAACCTGAATCGGGTTTCGGAGGTGCCTGCAACCGTTCCATTGACCACTTTTCAATGATGGAGGAGACTTGTGTATTTTCTGTATTTAATATTCTGAACCCTGTCATGTTAACACCACTGTATCGGTAGGGCTCTACATCAAGAGCAAAGAGGTCCTGAAAGACAAATTTCTTTGTGTTATTATCAACAGAGTATATTCACAAACACGTATAATTAAAATAGTCAATTATTTTTACTTCCCTTAGAATAGCTAACATGATTGTTTCTCAAATGATGTTAACCATCACAAATCACCGAGATTCAAATAGGTTATTTTCATGCTTTGTCAATGCAAATGTATATATTCTAGATAAATATGTATGTATATATCATATTCTAATTCCACCAGTGAAACAACAGGCTTTTCTAAAACCTGCATTTAAGATTTGCATAAGCTTCCTTCTCCACATTAAAGATAGATTGCCCTTAAATTTTATGCATAAATATTTTATTTTTAACTGACTCGATTTTTTTTCTATGCTCTTCTTCCTTGACTGGTGACTAGCACTTTTTTTGTTTTTGTTTTTTGTTTATTTGTTTTTTAAGAAACAGTTCATGATATATGGCTTCTAACAAAAATTATATTAAAGCTGAGAGAAAAAGTTAACAAAACTGGCCTTTTTGGTTGTGGAATCCTGGCAGTTCCTTTGTTTTATACTCTACCCAACAAGTTCACCGTAAGGAACACTTTAGATTTGGCTGCCATTTCCAGATGGTAGTGAATGTTCTGGCTTTGCCATTTCATTTTCCCAGGAGAGAGGGGCCAAAGCATCCAGAAAAGCTGGAAATCACCATAAGAACATGCAGCATGTGGGACCTCTGCCCTCATTCAAGCTGGCATTAGTTAATCCTTAGATCTTACAGACAATATTGGGAACCAGGGTAAGGGTAATGCCATTCGTCCTATAGGCAGCTTGTCCTGGATGCATACAGCTACATAGGCCACAAAATAGGATTAAAATTTAGTGGAGAGCAGCTGATATTGGTCTGAACTGTGCTCTGTGCTGTGAAAAATACAAGGGATTTTTAGGTTTTTATTTTTCAACATTTGCAATCTAGCCAAGGACACACACACACACATGCACACACACACACACACACACACACACACACACACACACACGGGGGCAAAAGAGTAGAAGTGATAAGTGCAAGGAGTCAGAAGCAAGATGGGTAACTTTCCGTTTTTATAGTTAAAAATAACTTCATAGAACAGATGGGATCTAAGACACCATTAAAGAATGGCCAGGCTCTTGGTAGGCAAAAGGGAAACAGATGTCATTCAAAGTGTCAGTAAAGGCACAAAAATTAGAAAACATAAAACCTATTCAGGAGACTGATCTAGATCAGTTTTTCTATAAAACAGAATTCATGAAGGAAAATAGCAACAACAGAAAATAGGAATGTTAGATTAAAATTAAACTAAAAAACGACCTTCAATTATAGGCTAATGACTTCTACAATCCTAAATGTGTTTTTTCTTTTTTTTTTAATTTATTTTTCCTTATCAAGGGATACTTTTGATTCCTCTAAAATCTTATGATTATGGTGGAACTTAGTTGTAACTGCATTGAAATAAAATTTGCTAATGAGTAAAGCCTTCCAATCCCTCTCCTGCAGCCTATCATTAAGTTTCTTACAGGCTGCAAAAAATAGCCTGGTGGGAAGTAATATAGAGATACAGCACAGTTAACCATAGTATTTGCAAGTAAAATACAAACTACTGTGTGAAGAAGCTCTATTGGAGGAGAGTTGTTTTTATAGGAAGCTATTGTGATCAACTACACTTTAGTATTTGGTCTGATAGCTTCAAGAGTCCTAAAAGCAAGGAGACCAAATTGAAGACTTTTGAGTTAACAGAAAGCATTGGTTAAACTGGTCATTGTGGGAATGGAGACACAAACTAGAGATAGTATGGAGGAAAAAACAGTAGAACTTTGTTGGTGATATAGGATTCAGACAATGGAAGCTTTGAAGGCAGTCAGAAGAGGTGTCAATTTAGAGAACAATACATTAAGGTTTAAATTATTTGAGATTATCTTAATGTGACAACAGACTTGTTCTGTAATGTAGCAAAATACAATTCAGGACTCTTACAAATGGACATTGAGATTTCATTTCATCAAAGGTAATAATTGAAGTTCTTACATGCATACTAGTTCTGAAGAAAATAATTAAAGAGGAAAAAGGAAAATAGGATAAAGTCTCAAACTTGGAGATACTCTCAAATTTTGGTGATAGGCAATAAAGGAGAATAGAATATGCCACCCCCAAATATGCCACTTTGCATGTGGTTTACTGTGGTCTGAAGGCAACCAAGACCCAGTAGATTCAGGAAAACTTTTATGTCTGTTTTAACTATCTTAAAGAATTTACATAGTGGTTCTGTACCAGAAAAAAAAAAAAAAAAAAAAAAGAAAAAAAAAACTATTAATAGAGATAACTTTTTTTTTTTTTTTCTGAAAGATCTATCTGTATAGCAGGGTAAACTTCTAATTACCAAGGATCTGCCCTTTCTATCAGTCTGTGAATTACCTTCCTCCCATTTGAAGCCCCAGGCTCTCATCCCATTCCTTAGTTCAATTACCTGACCTGACCTTGAGTCTCATATCTTTGGGGCTCCTGATGTATGAAATTAAATTTGTTTTTTTTCTCATGTTAATCTGTTTTATGTCAATTTAATTATTAGACCAGGCAAAGAACCTAGAAGGGAAGGAGGACACATTTTCCACCCCTACAGCAGGAAAGAATTAGTGACAGAGACAGTCATTTCACAGAGGAAGGAAAATCAGGATAACATATTAATAAAGATATAGAACCAAGAGTAAGTAGATTTGATAAAAGAGTGAGGTCAGAGTTTCATGCATAGTAAGGAAGAACTGTGTGGTGGGTGTGTAAAAACAAAATATGAAGGTAACATTCAATTTGATAATTGCAAATTAAATCATATTGACTTTAAAAAATCCAACTAAAAATAGGCATAAACAGGACCGAAAATTTAATCTACTAAAAGGTGTTTCAATAAATCTGGTTTTTGTAAAGTAAATAGAACTGAGATAACAACATAAAAATTTGTGCTTTTCTAAAATACTGATTTCTTAGCAAATTAATTTTGAAATCTATAATGTTCTAGAAGTCCTCTAAAGCAATATATAAATAAGATATAATATTTTGAATTGATATCTGAAATAAAATTATTTCAAAATCATCAGCTTCACACCAAAAATTATTTGTTCCCAGTGATGATTCATTCCTCCTGTGTTTTATCAAAAAAAAAAATAAGCTACAAAAGTGACAGTCATTACTTCTCACTCAAAAACCCATTTTCCATCCTGAAAAGTTGTAGCAATAAAATTTACAGCATTATCTTTATGCTTTAATAAATTACTTACCAGAGTGGTAAAGATATAATGATAGTATTCTGTCATCATTCCCATAGCTAATGCCTACGAAGTAAAAAATAAAAATATTAATATTGAAGGTATACATCATATGAAATATGTCAATAGGAGAACAAAATAGTAGGGTACAATGAAGAATTAGGCTATAATATTCAGGTTACATTAAAACTGGATCAACCTAAATCTTTTCTCCATAATTAAGGAAGATTAGTGGTTACTGAAGGAATTTCCGAATCAGTTCTCTCAATAGAAAGCTATTAGCTAAAAGTTTGCAATTGTAAAGCTTATGGCTTTACATATTAAAGGAGACATTAAATTTGAAACAAACCTGAAATTAGCACATTTTAGTTCATTATATTTGTAATGTCTCCACTACAAATATCCTAAGGAGGAACACAATTTTATTTTGATGAACACTATTACTCAATTAGGAAAAAAATTGTGGCAAAGGCAATGCCAATACGATTTTTAAAGTACTTTGGAGACTTTCCTTAGCATTAATGAAGCAACTGTAAATCACCACTATTCTTCAAAAAGTACAGATAAAAAAATGTTTTTTTTTCTTTTACTAACAGACCAGTTGCAAATTACTATTTCATTTCATACTTCTACGGTCCTTGTCAATTTTATTTATTTATTTATTTATTTATTTATTTATTTATTTAGCATTTATTTATTTTTGAGAAACAGAGTGAGACAAAGTGTGAGCGGGGGAGGGGCAGAGAGGAAAGGAGACACAGATCTGAAGCAGGCTCCAGGCTCCGAGCAAGCGGTCAGCACAGAGCCTGATGCGGGGCTCAAACTCAGGAGCTATGAGATCATGAACCGAAGTCAGATGCTCAACTGACTCAGCCACCCAGGTGCCCCAGTCCTTGTCAATTTTAGATTATCAATCTTAAAATAAGGACTTTGGGTTAGAACTTTCAGACATGTCAATTTCTCCTTTGAAAAGGAGAACAGTTTTTGAAATAGCTGTTTATCAATGAACAGTAGTTGGTGAATGTAATTGAAAAATGATGCATTTTTGAGTTGAATGAAGAGTTCTTAGCAACAAGTATCCTCAGGTGCATGTAATACTTTCTGTAAAATACTAACAGCACAAATTCATTTGCTGAGTAGCTGTCTCAGTTACACCCTGGGTATTCTATGCTTATAGATAGGTGTTAACTAGTTAGTTAAAATGAAATTTGTATGTTAGAAGTAAGCTATTCAGTTAAGAAAGAATAGATTTTGTGAAAATTTTGGAACATACAAAATACACTTTTTTAAAAGGGAGAAACATTTGTTAATGAAAGGCGGCATCGAGAACTGAGCAAAGGAAAGGACTTTAGATACTGTGATATTGTGATTTATAATAAGAATACATATTTTGTCATCATTTGTGTACTCCCCCCTGCTCAACCACACACACATAATGGAATTAGGTGTACAACACTTAGGTACCAAATTATCAAATAATATTTCCTGAATGAATAAAGACTGTATGAACCAATAATGCTCTGATGAAGTGTGAATCTTAATCAAAGTAAGAGAAAATGTATCTTATTAAAGGTTTATAAGATTATCTTCGTAGAAGGTATTCACTATTCCTGATGGATATGCACAAAAGATTTCTCAACTCCAGAACTATATAATGACAGCTCAACATTATCCTTGTCTATAGTTTTTACTTATCAACTCAACAGGTACAGAAAAATGGATAAAGATAATTGAAAGAAACAGTGCTTCAGATGTACAACTATAAATAGCATATAATGCCCAAAATGTGTTAGGCACTCTTCTAAGGACATTGCACATTTTAATCAATTTAAGTCTTGTAGAGGCTGAAAGCAAGCAGACTCAAGATGGGCCACTTTGGCGTGAAGATTATTTTGAGCTGAAGGCAAATGAAACCCTGCAGACACAAGAGAAACTTTTGCCCCTTCTTTAACAACATAGAAAAATCTAAATTGGGACTCTTTCCTAGAAAAAGGGTTATTATTAGAGATAAATATTATATGAGTGATAGACAAACATCTAATTATCAAACATCTGCTCTTCTTACTGCCCTGTGAATTGCATCGTTTTCCTCAAAAGTCCCCCTTCTCCTTAGTTCAGCATAATCTATATATCTCATTTTGTCCAACTTATTTTGGAATTTCCACGTCTGTGTGGATTCCCTGTATTAAATTTGCTTCTCTCCTGTTAATCTCTCTCATGTCAATTTGATTCTTAGTCCAGCTAGAAGGACCCCTGAAGGGGGAGAAATTCTTGTTTCCTGATAGCCTCATTAAAAACCTTATGAGGTAGGTCCTATTATTATACTTATTTTATAAGTGAGGAAAGTACAAAATAATAACAATGAATAAATCGGCCAAAAAAACTGAGATAGTGAGTAAACATGAACTCTAGGTCTCTAATTCTTGGATTTTGGATACAAGGCATTTTATAAAATGGTATATTTTATGTTCCCAAAGAATGCAGATCCATTGTAGGATCTATGTAATCTAAACTTTTGGCCTGTTTTCACCTTGATATTTTGAAAACCTCATCTCAAGCCAGTATTGAAAATTTTGTTTTGTAGGTAGGGATGGAAGGGATTAAGGAGATGATGGTGGGGAGGGTGGTTTGCTTCTGACATGGGTATTCTGAACCAGCCACAGCTTCCTTCATCACTGTGAGAAGAAATCTGTAGGGGATGACTGAGGACTGTTTATGCCTTTCATTGACCTTCCTTCAGCCTTTGATTCTGAAAATAAGAATCAATTATGGACTATGATGTGTGATCTAAATAGAGGTTAGTTATTTTTGATTGAGTACCTACACTGTAACATTAACCAAAAAAAAAAAAAAAAAAAAAAAAAAGGACAACAGGGTATCTCTCTTGAAAGATAAGTTAATAATTTCCAGTGGAATTAAAAAAAGAACTTTATGAGGCCACTTTTAGACAACAGGCTTGAGGAATGGAAACTTGATCGAGGCAAAGGGGCTCACAGCGACCACCCGGCTGATACAGATAGGCTTTTCAGGCAATCCGCCTCAAAATATCCACAGTCTCTAACTAACCAACAGGCTACTTACAACTAGGCACAGGTTCCAAAAAGGGAAATTCCAGGTAGCCATACCTCCTCACCTTCCCTCTTTACAGACAGCCCCCACCTATTTCCTCTTGCCAGACAGCCTCTCCTTTGCTGTCCTGCCTCCCAATTCCTCGTGGTATATTGAATAAACTTCTATCTCTTTTGTTCTGCTTCAGGTGAATTCTTTTCACTGCCTGCACCACTGGCTTCCACCCATGGCCCCACATTTGGAGCCCCCATTCAATCGGGAGAGATACCACATTTAGACACCACAAACTTGTTCTGGATGTTTTTTAAATTATAACACTTACATCTTGCCAATGTTTTTTTCTCTTTTTTCATTATTTTTTCAATGTTTATTTATTTTTGAGAGAGAGAAAGAGGAAGAGAGAACAAGCCGGGAGGGACAGGGGGAGGTGGAGCGGGGGGAAACAGAAGATCTGAAGTGGGCTCCGCACTGACAGCGGAGAGAGAGATGTAGGGTTTGAACTCATGAACTGTGAGATCATGACCCGAGCTGAAGTCAGATGCTCAACCAACTGAGCCACCCAGGCGCCCTTGCCACTATTTTTGAATGAACTGGATGGACCGTTCAAACCACATTAACAAGAATAAAATTAATATCTCTTTATGTATAAATAAATGAGAGTGGCCACAATAGAAAAATTGGTTGTACTGTATTATCCTTCCTGGAAAGAAATGCCACAGATTTTCCAAAATCAAAATATTATTAGAAATCCCCAACATTTAACTAGAGTAGTGCTAACAATGCCATTTGACAAATTAACACTTCTAGGCATATAATATGCAATCGGTTTATCCTTCAGGATGTATCCAGAAGTTACATCACTCAAAGTTAACACCTGAAGAGGTGGGCTTTAGACACATTTCTTAAAATTTAATTTAATTTTACTTCTGATGCCATGGAAGTTTATTTGCATCTGCTTTCACATTTTTCCAGCCTAAAAATTTTCACAGTCTCTAATCTAGACTTTCAAGGTCTTGATTAATACTTTTTCTCTGTAATAGAATGACCTTGTGAGGCTTCAATGCAGATCATCTTCGCCCTGCCATAGGGGATTCTCTTTGACAAATTTGGGTGGTGGTGGAATCTTTTGTTATTAAGGCCTGTATGCCCATTACTGCATTCAAATAGCCAGCTTCAAGCTTCAGTCCCTTTTAAAGCATTCAGGGAAGAAAACTTCAAGTTCACTTTTGCCCAATATTTAAGAAAGGCTCACTTAGTTAAAATAAATAAAATAATGAAACAAATAGGGCTAACTTGATAAACCTATCCATATTTCTGGATACTCCTATTAGTGGTTCTTCGATTAAGCCACACAAGGACAGCCCAGCCCATCTATGCCTGCTCTCCAACTCCTATACCATTTCTTTGTACTTCTGTCTTTAACCAATGTTGAGAAATCTCCAAAAAAATTTATAAATCATGAAATAGAGTCCTATTAAATGTGTTGCTTCATTTATAAGGAAGCTATTTGCTTTCTTCTTGAATTCATTTCTAGAATAACTGATATCCAAATGTGGAACAAATGCTCTCTAGGACAAGGTAAGATAAAAAACAAACATCATACATGTGGTCTGTTAGTGTTACAGATTCTGAACATACACATTCTGTGTAATAATGTTACTCTGATTTCATTTTAAGTCTCATATAATAATTTTACCTGTGCTGTGACTTTTCTACTAATCTTGCTAAAATTATGTAACCTTTTCTTTTTTTATTATTATTTTTTTTCAACGTTTATTTATTTTTGGGACAGAGAGAGACAGAGCATGAACGGGGGAGGCGCAGAGAGAGAGGGAGACACAGAATCGGAAACAGGCTCCAGGCTCCGAGCCATCAGCCCAGAGCCTGACGCGGGGCTCGAACTCACGGACCGCGAGATCGTGACCTGGCTGAAGTCAGACGCTTAACCGACTGCGCCACCCAGGCGCCCCTATGTAACCTTTTCTGCTATATATATTTTAAAAATTATCTTAATTCTGTTTTTATTTTACAAAAAGCAGGTTACATATAAGAAACCAATTATAATGGATATATCAAATAGAAGGCAGAATGGCAATTCTATCATTAAAGTTGATAGCAAAATAAGTCAGTTAGTTACTGTAGAGACAAGACAACTGATCATTTACGTACTTGCTGGAAGCCTAGAGAAAGCCGACCAAAGCTCTGTCACTGACAAATCGTAAAATACTACTCACTCTGGGCATAAAGGAAAGGTCTCCTTTCCAAGCCTGTATATTCTAAATGTGATCAAGAATTGTCTTTGGTATTACATGAAAAACAAATTCCTACTCTGCATTTCACTGATTATTCACTACCAAAAACAAAACAAAACAAAAAACAACAAGAAGCAAAGACACACCCAAATCTCATATGCTTTACTACCCAAATACAACACTAGAGCAATTTTCCAAATCCAATTAAATATTTTATTGCAGTGAAACCAACATTCATATTGGAAGATTGGACAACCATCTGCTTAATAAACTAACCATGTTATAACAGGCATTTACAATTGATAGTTATATTTTATGGGATATAATTTGACATCTGAATCTGCATAACTCTCCACTAGTGATATTTTATCTTATACGTGAGAGGTTTCAGGACAGTTGACTAATCCCAAGCCACTGTGATATCAGCCAGTGTCTTTACAAGAGCTTAAAAAACAAAGTACAAAGACTTGAATCCAAATCTAGACTACTACATAGTAAATATATGGGCTCATACCAGCCATTTAATGCCCAACATCAGTCTCTTTTCTCGTCTGTAATATAGGGGAGAATAATAATTGCTGTTTTCCAGTATACTGTTAGGTTGGAATAGTACAAAAGTAACACTAAAAGGTTTTACTGCTATAAATTATTTCATTTGATTGATTTTAGTATTAACTTTTGAGTTAGCAATGCTTTATTCTGGAATGAATACTTAACATCACTAGGTGAGATATTAATCCCTCTGTTAGTTCCTTGCTGGTGGGCATTGAGAAAGTTATTCAATCTTTCCAAGACTCAGTTTCTTCATCTGTGAGGTGGAGATAGTCTCTACTTCATGTGGTCATTGTGCTGATTAAATAAGTGATGTGCTAGGGATCTCCTAGAAGATGCCAGCTAAATAGCAAATCTTTTTTTCTCTTTTTTCAACTGGTTGATTTTAACGGTTGAGCTGCTCAATCATTGACTGTCAGTTTATTCCTTCCTTTCAGTACAAACAAATATCTACCATAATAACCAGCATTCACATTAACAAACAGCATTGTAGCCATTTGAAAAAACCTCAGAACTTCAAACAATGTGTTTTGAAGATCATCAGTATTTACATTACTTTTTCTTAAAGACAATTAATTAAAAGCAAATGTCAGATTTTTCTATCAGAAAATTACATCAAGGTGACTTCTATGGCTCATTTTAACTATGTGACAATAACACTTTGCTTAAAAAAAAAAGGCCATGCTTTAAATGCAAATTCAATAAAGAAACCAAGAATTTAAGTAAATTAAAGATTACCTGTTTCAAAATGCCTGCTGCCATTTCATGGCTACAGTCAAAGATTACATGGAACTCTTTGCCTCTTTTCATTTCCTTTAGTAAGGGTTTTGCATCCTTTGTATCGGCAGGTAGTTGACGGATTTTAAGCCGAAGATTGTACCGTGATGGAGCTTTGATGAGCTCCTGCAAACGAATGAGACCTTTAATGAAAAAGGGGGGAAAAAGAAGATTAGAGAAAAAACAGAGTAGGTCATAAAATCACAGAACATACTACAGTGCCTGATTTCCTTGACCATGTATATGTGCATTCATGGTGGGACCACTGAAATTCCTACTTCCTAACTCCAGATCCCATTGGTTTTGTTAGAATGATCATTTTTCAAATTCTTTAAGGTATTTTTCAAATTATGAAAGATATACATAAGTTGATGAAAATAATTTAAATAAATAAAAGGATATAGAACAAAACAGTCTGTCTCCCTTTGTACCCCAATTCTGCTCCTACAAGGTTGTCACAGTTAACAGCTTACAAATATTATTCCTCCACACATTTTCTCTGCATTTCCACAGATACACATAGAGTTTTATTTTGTTTTGTTTTGCATTTTACATTAATAGTAGTTTGTGACTATGTCTTAAAGGTTGTTGTAAGTCGGTGACTATTGTTCCAGTTTGTCCACTTAACACTGTATTTTATAGTGGACATAATTTATGTTATTATTCTCCAGTGTTAGAAACTAGAGTTACTTTTTTGTTTTTGTTTACAACTAATTGTCTAGTAATTTGGTATGTATGTAAGAGTAAAGTAACTTTCTTTAATAAAATACACTCTAACTAATAGCCTGGACCATTATTAAATTACTTAAAGAAATAAAACATTTTTTGTATTGTTTGTTAGATATAACATTAACTCCAGAAAGAAATATAACCACACACGGTATTAGTAAAGCAAATATTTTCCTAGAGAAATAGCTCCTGATTATGTTTCAAAGTATATCAAATTAATAGACACATGTTCAATAGGTCATAGAACTGGTAGACATTTTTAAATAATAGAGACATACCATCAAATTTATTTTTTCATACAAACTTCAAGCAATGAAACGTCTTCAAGAACTCATATAAAAGACTCAACATGTTAAAAAGTGTGATAAGAAAAAAGGATCATCTACTTCTATTCTATCTTGGAATGATATGAAGCAATTTCCTCGTCTCCTCCTACTACTCTTCTTTCTTATTTACCTTTTTTTCCCGTTTCATCTCTATATTTTTCCCCATTTCTATCTCCCTGAAGAACTACCTTCATAAATATTAGTATTGCAAACAATATATGTGAGTATGTGTGTGTGTGTGATTTTACCCTATTTAGAAATTGGAATAACAGGAATAAAAATATATCTTATTGTGAGTGAAAACAATCTGTGTATTAAAATAACACATGATACAGGGAGTAAAATCTAATTCTAGGAATCTTTTTCATTAATTTTTAAATGAATAGGTCTTATACATGTAATGCTATACACATTTTAATATGTTGTAACATAGTTAATAAAATTAACATAACTAGTTTTCAGTATTTTCATTCTCGAGTGAGACATACAATGTAAAAATATGTAAATTTACAAACATACCTAGTATCTCTTGCTTTTAAAATATTGTGCCATAAAACTTACTTCATTGTAAGTTATGAGAATTTTGCCATTTAAAATTCTACAAATAATTGTTGCATAAATTACACAACATACTACAATTATCTTATGTTGTTTTATAAATTTAGATGTACTAGCTATATTAAAATAAGTATTATATAGCTAATTTATATTCAATGTACTCATTAAACATAATACAATTCAATCCAGAGAATTAATGTACATATAATGAGTAAAGATGTAAACTTGGGTTAAACAAAGGTAAAAACAAATATTTGAATTTATAACACCTGCTTAATTGTAGTAGTGTAACATTGGGCTTATAAAATCCTCCAGAACATGTATAAAAGGCTATATGTTTGCACACAGGAGTGCTCTGCAACTAAATTAGAACAAATTGTTAACAAATTGTTAAAGGGTAGTAGCATTAACTACTTTTATAAATAAACCAAAGTATAATTGTAGTAAGGCAATGGCTCCCATACTTTGGAAGGTATGACAGTAATCTATGAAGCTGGTTATAATATAAAAGCTGAATCAGAACCTTTAGAGGATAGGACTCATGCATGTACATTTTTAACAATCTTCCCACATGATTTTCCTGGTCATCAAAAAGTAAGACCAATTTCCAAACATAAGTCTGATTTCAGTGTCATATGTGAGTCACTCTTTGAAACACTTTGGCATAATGATATGATAGGATAATAACTATATTATATTAGCTAGCATCATAAAACAATAAAATAGTTCAAAGAATGAATTCCAACTTCATTAGGAAAAGTGAATCAGAAATCTGTACATACAACTGACTGTAGGAATGAGAGAAAGAAAAGAAGACATCATTCATTTACTCTTGCATCAAACAATTTTGTTAAATTTATTCAATTCTTACTATAGGTCAAGCATTGTTTTGGATATTGGCAGTAAAATAAAAAATAAAATAGACAAATCTCCTACCCATACCATATTAAAAATATATGAGGGGTGGGGGACAGGTAAAGGTCATTAAGCAGGCAATTATAAATAAAAAGTGGCAAATAATACTTTGATGGGGAAAATGCAATTATTGAAGAAGAATATATAGCAGAATCCTCTAACTCGGGATGAGAGTGCTTACAGAAATTACTCCAAGACGGTGACATCTAAGTTACTACCTGACTAAAAAGAGTAAGAGTGGAAGGAATAGAAGAAAAAACAGAACAAAACAGTTTTTATACTGGCAGGGGAGTGAGAGAGCACGAGCAAAGAATCTTAAGAAGCAAGGAAGAAGTGATGAAAGTTTAATTTAAGGGGGCATGAGGCTGCCTAAGAAGCCCACGTAAATTACTTTAGAGTTGAGGTCTTAAAGGTGGTGAAAAGTGCCCACTTGGAATCCACATTTCAAAAGAACCACTCAGATTTTCAGTATGGATGACAGATCAAAAGAGCTAAAACTGGAGGAAGAAAGAGTTGGAAGACAGTTGGAATAATGCAGCCTAGAAAATGCAAAGATGTGTGTACAGGGCAGGATGGAGAAAGAAGTGGATGGACCAGAAAGAGATTTTTAAAAAAATACTGAGAGTACTTGGTGAGGGAGAGCACTGAGTCAGGGAAGTTTCCCAGATTTCTGGCTTGGACAACTAGGGGGAGAGAGTGCTTCCACTGAGCATGAGATCATGGGAGGATCAGGTCAACTGAGGGTTCAAAAGAAGGGGAGTGATCATCCATGTCAAGGGTTGCTAGTAACAAAGAAATAATAGTAAACACTTTAAGAAAGTGTTTATTAAATTTAACTAGAAGATAACTGATGACCCAGGCAAGGACAGTTCTACTAGGGAGGTGGGGGCAGATTATTGTGCCATTAGTAGGAGCACGAGAGAGGTAAAAATAGACTCCCTCAAAATCATCTCCATGTATTTCCATAGTGTAGCTTAGTGCCCATCCTAATCACATATAATATCCTTGTAGGAAAGTATCAGTCCCTTCCTAAACCATCATCAGACTTGAGTTCAGTAACAGATTGATGGGACACTTTGGTTTCTACGTCTATTAAATGAGTTTTATCTAGATCAGCAGTTTTCAAAGTAAGGTCCACACATGTCTGTACTCTTTTGGGGGTGTTCCCTAAGGTCCAACTATTTTAATAATAATACATAATAATACTAAAGCTTTTTTCTTTCATTCTCTCCCACATTGACAATGGAGTCTTCCAGTAGAGGTT